TTCCTCCACACTTTTCTTGTAGCGCGCCGGCTGGGCATGCCCTTTCCTATCTTTCCTTCCTCCGTGCGTCGGCCCAAAGAGGCAATGTCGACGCTGATGCCCAAAAAGCATGCGACACTCTCTGCTGCCAGACGATCACTTGGTTTATCCCAAAAGCCGGTATATAGGTCGAGGGGTGACTTTTTAGTGGCATTTTCAGGAAAAAATCTTGACCTATATTTTGCACTATACGGTAGCATTTAGCGACTACGTAAATGCCGCTGCGAACGTGATCATCTACAAGGAGCTCAGTGATACTGAGATCCTCAAGAGTGCTCGCGCCGCCGCCACCGGTTCATCCGACGACGAAGAAGTCGGGCGTGGTGTTCTGACCATCCTGATGCCAGAGACTGTATCGCTGGTTACAGACTCCTTGGACGTTTTACGCAGTTTTTTTGCCGCCCATGACGACGATATCGCCAAGCAGCTCCTCTCAGACTGTGAGCAGCACATTGTCTGGTTGCTCATGTGATAGCGCAAACAGTAAAAAATAAGCGATTTTTTCAAATTTTCAAAATAAAATGCCCCCAGAGTGTCTTGCATATCCTGTTTTCTTTATTTACTGCTTTTTCCAGAACAATGAAATTCTCGCTACAACGAAATTTTTCGCGATCCCCATGAATTTCGTTGTAGCGGAGTTTGACAGTATTACCTTTATGTAGGGCTGTGTTAGCTGCGCACCTTTGGATTGTATTTGCTATTGATTACGAATACGATAGCGACCACCGTTTCCTGTGCAGCGGTTGTGGCAAACACAAGTTTCTTTTTTTTTTTGTATTATCTGTGCGCGCTGCGCTGGCTGTGCCCGTAACTTCGGAAATGTCTTGTTGCTATCTTTGTTTGCATGATTACGGCAAGACATATTGAGTTGAGTCGGTGCGCGTTGACTGCACGCATACTTTCATAGTTGCCCGTAATCGCGTTCAACATGACCGCATTTGTGTTCGCAGCGGTTGCAGCAGAAAACCGTTATGCTGGGACTATGTGAGCACTGCTCGCGTGTGCGCCTTCACGACGTGTGGTTGCCATTCACGGTCGCAGGACTAGTGACAACGAGTGGTAGTTTTGTTATGCAAATCCACCAGCAGCATCATAGCGAATGGCCGCACTGTCACTGAGCATCTCAATGGCGATAAATTTAGCGGGATGCGAGTGTGGTGGCAGAAAGCGTGTATCCAATGGAAACGCGGTTGTTGTGATACGACCGTGCGCTATCGATATCACAAGCCGTTGAGAAATGGCCGAGTTGGTATCGGAATTTCGCGGCAATCCAAAGCAAGTTTTTTTTTTTTATGGGGTAATACTCGCAAAAACTTCATTAAAGCGGAAATTTCCAAGAAAAGTATTCGTTGTGACACATTTTTCACCTTGTTTTTCATGGGCGGCTGACGGGGAATCGAAAATCATTCGTTGTGGCGGAAATGTTGTTGTAGCGAAATTCGTTATAGCGGGATTTGACTGTATGTTCATTAAACTTGAAAGTGGGGCTTTGCGGCTGTGCGGATTTCCCCTGGATGGGTGTACTCACAGTACGCACCCCTCCGCTGCAGTGAAATCGCCTTTACACAAGGGTTACATGCAGACTAATGACACCTAACATATATTGGCACGTATAAGTTGACTCGGAATAAAGACGTCCCCCCCCCAAACTTTTGACCGCAAAATGGGGAAAGAATGTGCAAGTAAATTATTTCAAGAAATTGACTGCATTTAAAAACAAAAAATTTATTGCCAGCAAACTACAAGTTTAAGCCTTCATGTGGCAGTTGTGATCGCGCACTTCACAAAAGCTTCGTGCACCGTGCTGTCTGGCAGGTCGTACCAAGCGTCAGACACCCAACTGTTCCACAGTGCTCAAAGAAGCCCGCCTCACATGCCCCGTCGGCGTCTGGGGCTTGTCGTCCTGATTCATCCAGTCTTTGTAAAGTGCCGCCACCCTGTTCTTAAATGATTGTTGACCTAGTTAGAACTTGCTTAATGACATGCTTTGGCCGCAAATAACACAAACACAAAGTAAAGGAACTTGCTGAGTGTTCCTTACTTTGTGTTTTTGTTATTTGCAACCAAAGCATGTCTTTAAATGGCTTGTTAAGTGCCACGTCGAGCAGCTGTAGCATAGAAGTCAAGCCACCCGGGATTATCACCAACTGGCAATCCGCATTGGCCACGGTTCTCTTCAGGCGTTCCGTGATGTGCCCTAAGAACAAGTCCAGCACAAGCATGCTTTAGGGCCTGAGAAGACCGCCTAGGCGCCGGAGCCAGATGAGGTGGAACCATTCCAGCACAGTTAGCCCCGTGAAAAAGCCCTTCTCATTGATGCGAAAAATTACTTAAGGGGAGAATTTCTCCTTGGGCATCATCTTCCGCTTGAAAACATTAAAAGGTGGCAGCTTGTGGCCGTCGGCGGTGCAGCACAGCATTACCGTGAAACAGTTGTGCTCACTGCCAGTGGTCCCAGGGCACACTTGCCGCTCACCTTTTGCTGACACGGTCCATTTGCTTGGCATATCAAACCAGAGAGGTGTTTGATCGGCATTGCCGATCTACCCGAGCGAGTAGGCGTGTTTCGCCTTCTGTTCACTGACGAAGTTCAAAAAGGTTCCTTTTTTTTTTTTTTTTTCGTCATATTCCTCTGGTGGCTTTTGACAAATAGTCGTGCACCACCCAAAACTGAGCCCGTGCCGATTCATGAAATTAGTAACCTGTTTCTTTGAAATTTTAAATTCACTGTGGGCGATCTCCAATCCATTGGCAACATGTCAAGCCTTCACCTGAATGTCCCTGTAAGACACGCTCAGGCCTTTCTGTCGCTATTCGCCCACCCGTTTGTTGACAACTTCTTCAATGGCAGTGTATTTACCTTCTTTCAGTCCCCGGAACGTATTTCGCTATCCAGCACACGCGAAAAGTTTGTCCCTTTGTTGTCGCCAGCATCGCAAACATTTCTCTGAGTTGCTGAATTCACGCTCGGCAGAAAGACTGCTTATTGATTCAGTGTGAAGAATCACTTTTCCCTCGAGCGTGGCATCGTAGCTGCGTCTATGCAATGGAGCCGTTTCAATGCGGGATAGAGCAAAGCGACCTAAAGAGCGTTAGCATGGCGTGAGCTTTCTAAGCCTTTGCGCATACTGCCCACGATGCACTCCAACACAGGTCGCGAACCAATCCAAAGCCCGTGCCTAAGCCCAAGCCAAAGCTGAAGCTCTTTGTCCGGCCTCCGAGAATCGTGCGTGCAAGAGAATCTATGGAGGCTGCATTCGCTGTGTTGATCCACCGTACTGCCAGAGAACTTTGTACCATGCTTAGAAATTGCATAAAATATATTAATTTTAATTGCTTTTGCTACAATATACATATAAAATAGGCACATAGTAATAGGCACATAATAACCTTGGTAAACATTAGTTGCCTTACGGTTCTTTTTTAGCCCTCCCCCCCTCCACTCGTCATGTAAAAAACCGCACACAAGTTTACCTGCGCTCCGTTAAAAAAAATTCAACTTATATGCGGCAATATAGGGTATTTGTTTGTTCAAAGTACTTTGAAATTTCCAATAATTCGAATCGAAGCAAATTCAAAAATACTAAAGTATTTGTTAGAAATACTAAAGTATTTGTTAGAAAAATACTAAAGTATTTGTTAAAGTATTTGTTAGAAAATACTAAAGTATTTGTTAAATAGCCCAAATATTTGCACAAATTTAGCAATTACAGCATTTCGCTATGTTATCTTGTGGAAATTGAAAGGTCTCATGCACAGGTGCATCTTATACAGTGAAATCTCGGTAGAACGCACTCCACATTAACAAACTGTTCAGATTAACGAACTTTTAGAAAATCCCGTGCCGACTGCTAATAGTTTCAATGTAAAATTATTTCACTACTATGTACTTCAGAATATCGAACTTTTCAGAATAACGAGCGCTAGTTTAGTTCCGCATTATATTAACGCCTCAGTATACGAGCTTATGTTCTGAAATCCGTCGCGCCCACTGAAGCAGTACGCAAGCAGACGAAAAAGCGAACCGATGCGTTGCTTCTCGAAAGACGCGCGACGGCTTGGAAGAAAAAAAAACGAAAGGGCGACTTTCTTTTCTTTTTTTTTTTTTTTTTTGCTGAAACGCCAACGCTGCAGGTTTAGAAGCGAGCGTAGAGGCGAGGGCAACACGGGAGGGCAAGGTCAGCAAGGCAGAGTGGGAGTTGCGGAGCAGGAAACATGGACGGGGAAAACCTGAAACAGCGAGAGAGCAGAAAACGAAGCGCGAGGAATTTTCTTTTTTAGCACTTTTTTTTTTCTTCGAAAGAGGCAATGACAGCCGTGATGCTTCAGGTTTTTCTTTGAAGGCCTTGCTTTTCAGTCGTGTTCATCTCTTTTCAGTGATGAAAAGAGATGAGATAAGCAAGCGGCTTATCTCATTTTACTTATCGCGTCCGCAAAGCAAGTCGGCGTTCGCGCTGCGATGATACTACAAATGAGTGCATCTCTGCTTGCGACGAAGAAGTGGAAGCAGTTTTCTTTAAGCAAGACAATGGATATTCTTTGGCAACTGGAAGGCAGAAAACAGGTTGTGACCAAAGAACCGGATTGCACCACAGGAATGTGAATGAGCTGGAGGCCTTCGCACTGCAAAATTTGTGCTGCTCGCGTCAAAAAAGAAAAAGAAAATCGCAGACTTCTTTAAAGCAAAAGTGCATTTTTTGGTGTTTACTTGTGCATTTGTTTTTTTTTTCTCTCATAAAATGAGTTCAAAGACCTATCGTTTAGAGGTAAGTCGTTTTGGTTGGTGAAAAATAAAATATTTATGATTAATTTTCGAGTTTTCACTATAACGACCTTTCAAAATAACGAACGAATTTCTGCAGTCCCTTGAAGTTCGTTATACCGAGATTTCACCGTACAGTGGAAAATAGGGCACTCGATTCGCATAGTGTGGCCGTAGAAGAAAACAGGTGGGCACACACCTCCAGCTTGAGGGCTGTCTTGTCGTAGGCGTTCGGGACACGAGCTTGTTTCACCCTGGCCCTGGCAGGCAGCTTCCTCTGCAAAATGGGCCATTAAGTTTCGCTTAAAACCCCCGCTCAACCACAACGGCGTCGAACTATTGCCTACATCATCTTGGAAGTGGCTGCCACTGCCACTGAAGTGGGATTCATCCCGACTACCTCAACAAGTCTCTAGTATGGTAAGAGCTCGTTAATCACAACTTTGAATTTACACCCTGGCGTCAGCAGGGCCCTGTGCATTTCTATAGAAGAAAAAAAAGCTAATCAATTCAAATGCATCAGCCATCACAAAGGGTCATTCGAAGTGGTAGCTCCTGGTTTTCATTGCCCCTCGTAAAAGTTGCTCAAGTGGTAGCTCCTGGTTTTCATTGCCCCTCGCAGAAATGGGCCAAAGGCATGGAGCAAGAAAGACAGGAGGGAAAACTGCGGGCCGGCGCCAGCATTAGCGTGCGCCGCGATAATGTCACCCTAGGAGAGCAGGTTGCTGAACGTGCGCGCAGCGATCGTTGCGGCGACGCAAGCGTCACGATTTGTTTTCTGCCGCAGGAAAGCACGCGCGCGGTCTCCGATGGCCCCCGAATGAAACCGGAATGTCGTCTGCTACATCTGCCACTCACCGATTCCACCGTGCTACTGGATGCAGCTATGAAAGTTTTTTGCCAGTGCGATTTGTCAAAACCAAATGAAGTAAGTAGAGCATCTTAGGGCCAGCATCTTTATTTATTTATGTTGATTCAGATGCTGTTTGGACAGCGAAAGCAAGTAAGTGGTCGAATTAAAAATGCAGACCTTTATTCGTAGCTAGGCCCCTACCAGAAATCACTCATTGTGTAGCTTGAGGATAGATTTAGCATGTTCGTTATTATAACAGCGCTATACAGATCTACTGTGCGGGAAAGAAAGACATACATTTCAGAAGCATGATTGATTGATTGATATGTGGGGTTTAACGTCCCAAAACCACCATATGATTATGAGAGACGCCGTAGTGGAGGGCTCCGGAAATTTCGACCACCTGGGGTTCTTTAACGTGCGCCCAAATCTGAGCACATTTCAGAAGCACGTTTGAGCAGATGGCAACAGCTGATTCAACAGAAGAGCAGAAACTCCCGCTTGCTTCGAGCTGTGAATCAATACTGCGTTAAAAAAAAATAAATTCGAACTTTCAACACTACGTGTGACCAAGAACGGCAACAATAATTGGCGGGAGCTATATGAAGAGGAGAACGACAATAGAAAAAAAACGGCAACGTCTAGGAAAATTACTTTCGCAGCGGAACGATCAGCGGGTGTGACACTATGCTAAGTGTAAATTTACAGACATCCGTGACCAGCCAAGGTTCTTGTAGCTCTCCGATGCGATACCTCACGTTTTGAACGGAGGGTTTACTTACTCCTATACAAAAATAATGCCAAGAACTGGCCGGAATATCACTGAAATCACCGACAAAAGCAACACCAAACAATCAAAGGTTTGAAAATACTCGTCACGAGTCAGAAGTCCTCGTCGAACATTTTACCAACCTCAACACTTCCAGGTAAGTTACATTGTGAAAAGGCGTGGTTCTCAGCATGACGTATCCGGGTGTTGCAGCTTGGCAGGAACGAATGGTTCTCACCAAGTTCCAACGGAAGAGCACACACACATGAGCAAAACTTTTTTCCTGTTTTTTTTCTTGTTTTTAATTTTTCAATTTTCTTCAAATGAAAGGTTCCGTGGCATGTTTTATTTTCTTGATTAGGGCATAATGTACCCCATGTTCCCACAAATATTGTATCTATGCTTGCATACGAAGGTGAAAGAGTGAAAGCGAACATGTTTAGTGCTTGTGGAAAGCTTCGTGAGACTATTGTGGTATGGTCTCTTTCCCAAGGAGCTCTGGCTAGCTCGGCGAAAACACGTCGTAACGTTTTGCCGTCTTGCTTAGAGAGTGTTTCTGAGCTATGCACTGATACAATAAGCAGCAAGCACATGCGTGCAAACAGACGACGCTTCTCCCGTCTGCTGCTCCGGCGTGGCAGTTCGGCCGCGGTTCTGTAGATGGCGCTGTCACGACCTTTGCGGCCGCTCCCGGGGGTGACAGAATCGCAGCACAGAAAGGAGTCGAGTTTCCTCTCCTGTCTATTCTTCCCCCGTGGCCCAGGGAGATGCAAAACATCAAAGCAAGAGCAATTCTCAGGAGATGAAAATTCAGACTTTGCACTGCAGCTCTTGGAAAAGCTGCAAATGATGCTCAAGGGGTCACAAGAAAAGAAATCCATACAAATACAAATTACTGATTACTTTCAATTTCAATTGCGTTCACTCTGGCATGTAAATACACAGATTTCAACACTGAGGCTCACTATGCGAGTGCTTGTTTCTGGCAATCATTGGTGCAGCGCGATAAAGAGCTGTAACCATAGTTTGTAACCCATGCCAAGTTATGGGGTGCATTCGGACTGACTTGCCTGCACATTGGACGGGGTGTTGTACTTGATGGGGTCACCTGAAGGTGCATTCCGGGTGGCTGGTGGTGCCACAGGTGGAGATCCCAATTGGGGTGATGCTGGTCCGTTCCACCCATGCCCATCGTTGGGCAGCTGGGCATCATCGATCTGTGGAGCAACACTGCCATTAATATTGGACAAGGCACCCATTACACTGCATCTTTGTTTACCCCTTCAGCGGCAATGATATGTGCTATCGTTCACCAGAACTTTAGAGGCACATCATGCACCGTTTGTGGTCATTTCACTTGATTGAGCCGTGTACTGCTGTCGAGGATCACTTTGCTGAGGATAACAAAAACTTTTTTTTCTTTGCTCAAATTGAATAAAACCAAGAAAAAAAACAGGCGGTTCATGTGTTGCAGGCGTAATATTCCATTCTTTTCATGCAAACGCTCATTGCAGAATAATTGGATACTAAGTAACAGAGACGTAACAAAACAACAGATTCATTTTGTTTCTTCAAATGCAATGCTGAGTGCCTTAGAATCATGCCATGCAAATTTGACACATTTGTAGACACTGGGTCATAATTTGCATTTCACTCAAAAGAATGAATTCCCAGCCTTTCAATTGAAGGCTCCTTTTTATGTTCAAAAAGAAAGGGTGAGACAGTGCGCACAAGATCCCGTGATGAATGTCAGCACTTCATTTTGTTTTCTAGAAGAAAAATTTTTGCTGTTCACGACCATTGCTAGCGCCAGGCTGCCAGAGCCGTTCTACCAGAGCCGTACAGCATGACACCATTGTAATCAATTTCCCTTTGTGTCAATATGTAGGGTTCATAGCACCTAAGTGAAACAAAACTCAAGGGTTTTCAAGGGCTTTCAAGAACTTAACAAACACTTCTAAAGAACCTAAAATAACACTTGAAACAGCAGGAAATGAAGACACCACTTTTTACAGTATAAAAATTTGTACTTCATTTTATTTGTATGGTTGGTACCACAAACGCACTCAAGTTACCATGAACTGTAGTCGCTTTTGTGTTCTCAAAATGTATCGTACTCTCCATGTGACTTTCAACAAAAGACTCCCCTATCGATAACTGGTCGAAACTTGCAATAATAGCGAAAGTTGGGCTAGTTGGTGGTTCATACTTGGGAAGTAAAAGCTTCCCAAGTATGAACCCAAGCTTCACCAGTTTTTACTTCCCAAGCTTGCCAAAACTCTTCCTACAAGGGAAGACTTTGCCTAATGCGAGTTCAACGTATCCAGTGCAACCCACGCCCTATAAACAGCAATGCGTGACCAAGACGGCTGGAATTTGCACTTGCCTGGCATAGTCCCATCATAAGCGACCCGACTGCGGATATCCGCGCACACTTGCACAGTTTGCACAAAAAAGCCAGGCTTGGCTCCATTGCTGCTGTAACCACACAAGTGCTACCACAACTACAGTGTACTAAAAGAGTACACAGTACTACAACACTGTACTATGGCTAGAGAAATGGATTAGAGTAAATGGTTTGTTGGTTTGAGTTGCCAGGCAAGCAAAAAATGCCCCAAATTATGGCTTAAAGAACTTCGACTAACAAAATTCAAGGACTTTTAAGGAGCTCAAACAAATTTAAGGGTTTTCAAGGCCTTGAGAATGCCATTTCAAAGTACAGAAGTTTTCACGGGTTTCAAAGACCGCTACAAACCCTGAATATGGTACAACTAGAACGTTAGTCTCCCTTCCTAATTTCTCATGTTATGCCAAGAAGCATGATGATGATGATGTTTGGTGCTTTGTGGTGCAAGGGCCATTTGATGGCCCAAGAGCACCAGTTCATGGGACAAGAGATGCGAACAATGATTGTGATTTGCGGCTGTATAAGGGCCATAAAATTCCTCGCCCTAAGGCGGGTAAAAACATAGAAGTAATAAAATCATGACCATGCGGTGAAAAGTATAGTAGCCAACGTATGACGCGTCGTACTGACGTCACAGGCTACGTCATGTGCCTGTACTTATATTGGCATGCGAGCCGCTTGCTTATCACATTAAACCTTCGCCACCAACTGAGTCCAGCGCCGCCTTGCTCGCCGGCTACAACAGATGGCGACGAAGATGGGATAGGCTGCACCGAACGACGGGGGCGGATCCTGTGAGCAACGACAGCTGGAAGGCGAAAGGCAAGGTATGGCGAAGATGTGGGAATTTGACGCCTTCATAGAAGAAAAAGACAAAGATTTCGCATCGTATGTAGAACGGTTTGGGCACTATTGCAAAGTAGCCGGCGTACAAGACGAAGAACTTAAAAAGTCAGCCTTCATTTCTGCCATAGGAAAGAAAGCGTACAAGACGCTCAAGGACCTTCTTCTACCTGCAAAACCTGAAGAGAAGACGTTCGAGGACTTGGTGAAAGTGCTGAGTGGCCACTACGAGCCTTCAAGTCAAGTCATTGCGGAGCGTTTCAAATTCAACAGGAGGTACCAAGGAGAAGGGGAGTCCGTCGCGGCATTTGCAGTCACGCTGAAGCACATGGCAGCCAAGTGCAACTACGGTAAGTTTCTCGACGACGCTTTACGGGACCGGTTCGTCGCTGGGTTACGGAATTCCACCATTCAGACGGGTTTACTGAAGAGGAAGGAACTGACGTTCGAATCGGCCTGCGTTTTTGCTAACAGCGCTGAGCTAGCGGAGCGGGAGTCGAGGGGATTCCGACCAACTGCGAATATGGAGGCTGACATTCACGCTCTAAAGAAGACGGGGAAGGAACCGGAGTTCGCCAGCAAGCCAAAGAACAGTTCAATGCAAAGCTGCTATCGATGCGGTCAAGAGCATGACGCCCGTTGCTGCCGTTATCGTAAATTCAAATGCCATCTTTGCAAGCGCGTGGGACAGTTGGCGCGCATGTGCAGATGCAAGCAACCGGCACCTGGCACCGTCCACAACGTGAGTGACGAAGCGAGCGGAAGCACAGAGCTGCTGCTGCACGGTGTGTATCTGGTGGGCACGAAACAACCATATGAAGTTGAAGTACAGATAGCCGGCCAGCTTGTGAAGATGCAAGTAGATACGGGCGCAGCCGTATCACTCGTTCCGGAATGCGTTTACCGGCAGCTAAAGCAGCCGCCGCAGCTTTCGAAGTGCGAGATGAAGCTCAAGACTTACGGCGGAGCGACGCTACAAGTGAAAGGCCAAGCGGAGGTTTTGGTCGATTATAAGGAACAGCGGAAAGTCCTGCCAATCATCGTGGTACCAGGAGAGAAGCCAGCACTCCTAGGCCGCGACTGGATTGCGAACCTCGGAATGGACCTAAACAGCATTCACGAGGTGCACGCACAACCGTCTGTCGACAGCATCCTGTCAAGGTATGCCAGCATTTTTTCACCTGGTTTAGGGTTGATAAAGAGTTACCAAGCAAAACTGGTGCTTAAGGAAGGAAGCATGCCAGTCTTTTGCAAGGCGCGGTCTGTGCCGTATGCCATTCGTGAACCTGTCGAGCATGAGCTAGGCAACTTGCAAAAAGAGGGCGTACTGGTGCCCGTAACCCGCAGCGACTGGGCCACGCCGCTGGTAGCTGTTCTCAAGCCAGACGGCACAGTACGATTGTGTGGAGACTATAAATTGACGGTGAATCCATGTGTGAAGACCGACCATTACCCACTGCCCGCGGTGGAGGATTTGTTCACGACACTGGCTGGGGGCAAGGTTTTCACCGTTCTGGACCTTTCGACGGCATATCAGCAAATCGAGGTGCACCCTGACTCGCGACCCTTGCTGACTATAAAACTCTCACATGGGGTTGTTCCAGTATGTTCGAATGCCGTACGGAATCTCAAGTGCACCTGCAGTTTTCCAGGCAATCATGAACGAGCTGTTGAAAGGACTACCGGGAGTGGTATGCTACCTAGACGACGTCCTCATCACGGGAGCATCGCATACCGAATGCCTGGCCTGAGTGGAAGCAGTCCTGCAGGTTTTCAGGGACCACGGCGTAAAAGTGAGAAAGGAAAAATGCAAGTTTTTCTTGAATTCTGTCAAATATCTTGGGCATATCATTGACGAAAATGGTGTGCACCCATGCATCGAGAAGGTTGAAGCCATAAGGGAAGCACCCACACCTAAGAACATCAGTGAGCTTAAAGCGTACCTCGGCATGATAACTTTTTACTCCAAGTTCATGCCAAACATGTCTTCGAGGCTAAAGCCTTTGTATACACTGCTTCAGAAGGATAAGAAGTGGGTCTGGTCCGCAAAAGAAGAAAAAGCCTTCGCGGAGAGTAAGAGCCTCCTTACGCAAGCGAGCGTGCTAACATTCTATGACCCAAAGAAGCCTCTTGGATTAGTCTGCGGCGCCTCTCCTTACGTGGTTGGCGCAGTGTTGTTTCATGAACGGGGAAGAAAGGCCGAAAGTGGCTACGCACACATAGAAAAGGAAGCGTTGGCTGTGATTTTCGGAATCAAACGGTTTCACAAGTATCTTTACGGCCGTGAATTCACCATTTATTCCGATCACCTTCGCCTGGAGGGACTGCTGGGGCAAACAAAGCCAATTCAGCAAATGGCAGCAGCACGCATGCAGCGCTGGATGCTAGTGCTAGCTGCATATCGCTACAAATGGGTGTACAGAAAGGGAGCCCAAGTAGCAAACGCGGACGCATTATCGCAATTACCGCTTCCGAACGACACCGATGAAAGCGACTACGTTCACTTCTTTTCAGCAGTAGAAGCCGTACCACTATCTGCATGAGTGACGAAACCCAAAAAGACCCAGTTTTGTCTAAGGTGCTGATGTATGTTTTGAATGGATGGCCATCGTACGTGTCAGAAGACAACGTAGCCCCATTCTTCTCGCGGAAAGACGAACTGTCTGTAGACTGTGGTTGCATAACATGGGGAACTCGGGTTGTTATACCTGAAGCGGTAAAATCTGAAGTCTTATCGCTTTTGCATGAAGGGCATCCAGGCATCACTCGAATGAAAATGCTATCAAGAAGCCATGTGTGGTGGCCAAAGTTGTGCGACCGCATTGAAGAAACTGTAAGAGGTTGTTCAACTTGCCAACTAACGCAGAACTCTGCGCCCCACGTGCCGATGTTATCGTGGGGATGGCCAACCCGCAGGTGGCAGAGAGTTCACCTGGATTTTGCCTACTACAAGAACGACTGGTTTTT